GGGGCGCCTGGGTGGCTCAGTCGTTAAGCGTCTGCCTTCGGCTCAGGTCATGATCCCAGGGTCCTGGGATAGAGCCCCGCATCGGGCTCCCTACTCCACGGAAGCCTGCTTCTCCCTCTCCCACTCCCCCTGCCTGTGTTCCCTCCCTCGCTGTGTCTCTCTGTCAAATAAATAAATAAAATCTTTAAAAAAAAATAATTGTGCCTTTCTTTCATCAGTGTCTTAAACTTTTCAGTATACAGGTCTGTCTCTTACCTCCTTATTTAAATGTATTCCTAGATACTTTATTCTTTTTGATACAACTGTAAATGGGATTATTAATTTCTGGGATCATTTACTGCTAGTATATAGAAATGCAACAGATTTTTCTCTATTTCATACCCTGAAACTTCACTGAATTCATTTATTAGTTCTAACAGTTTTGAGGTAGAGTCTTTAGGGTTTTCCATATATAAATTAAGGTTATCTGTAAATAGTGACAGTTTTACTTCTTCCTTGCTGTAATGGATGCCTTTTATTTCTTTTTCTTGCCTAATTCCTCTGGATAGTTCTTCCAGTACTATGTTGAATAAAAGTGGCAAGGGAGGGCATCCTTGTCTTGATCCTGATCTTAGAGGAAAAGCTTTCAGCTTTTCAGCCTTGAGTATGATGTTAGCTGGGGGCTTGTCGTATGTGGCCTTTATTATGTCAAGCTATGGTCCTTTTCTACCCATTTTGTTGATAGTTTTTATCATATATGGTTGTTGGATTTTGTCAAATGTTTTCTTTGCATCTATTGAGATGATGACTTTTGTCTTTCACTTTGTTAATAAGATGTATTGCATTGACTGATTTATAGATATTGAACTACCTTGTATCCCTGGAATAAATCCCACTTGATCATGATATCTGATCCTTTTAATGTATTGTTGAATTTGGTTTGCTAATATTTTGTCAAGGATTTTTGCATCTATGTTCATCAGAGATATTGGGCTGCAATTTTCTTTTTTTTGGTGGTGCCCATGTCTGGTTTCAGTATCAGGGTAATGCTGGGCTTATAAAATGAGTTTGGAAGCATTCCTTCCTCTAACTTTTTGGAAGTTTGAGAAGGATAGGTATTAAATCTTCTTTGAATGTTTGGTAGAATTCACAGTGATGTCATATGGTCTTGGCTTTTGTTTGTTGGTAGGTTTTTGATTACTCATTGAATCTCCTTACTAGTAATCAGTCTATTCAGATTTACTATGATTCAGTCTTAGGAGATTGGGTTTCTAGTGATTTTTCAATTTCATCTAGAATGTCCAACTTGTTGGTATATAGTTGTTCAAAGTAATCTCTTATATTCCTTTGTATTTCTGTGGTATCAATTGTAACTTCTTTTCTATTTCTAATTTTACTTACTCGAACCTCCTCTTTTTTTTTTCTTGGTGAGTCTAGCTAAAGATTTGTCAATTTTATTTATCTTTTCAAAGAACCAGCCTTTAATTTTATTGATCTTTTCTATTGTCTCTTTAGTCTCTATTTCATTTATTTCTACTCTGGTCTTTGTTATTTTGTTCTTTCTACTGACTTTAGACTTTGTTTGTTCTTTTTCTAATTCCTTCAGGTATGAATTTTGATTATTTGAGATTTTTCTTGTTTCTTAAGGTAGGTTTGTATCCTTATGAAATTTCCCCTTAGAACTACTTTTGCTGCATCCCATCGATTTTGGTATGTTCTATTCCTATTTTCATTTGTCTCAAGGTATTCTTTTTTTTTTTTTTAAAGATTTTTTAATTTATTCATTTGAGACACACACACACACAGCATGAGCAGGGCACAGAGGCAGAGGGAGAGGGAGAAGCAGACTCCTCACTGAGCCAGGAACCTGACACGGGGCTCGATCCTATGGGATCGTGACCTGAGCTGAAGGCAGATGCTTACCCAGCTGAGCCACCCAGGTGCCCCTCAAGGTATTCTTTTATTTCTCCTTTGATTTCTTTGTTGACCCACTGGTTATTCAGCAGCATGTTGTTTAATCTCTACTTATTTGTGATTTTTCCACTTTTCTTCTTGTAATTGATTTCTAGTTTCATACTGTTGTAGTCACAAAAGATGCTTGATATGATTTCAATCTTCTTAAACTTATTGAGACTTGTTTTATGGCCTAACATGTGATCTTCTTTGGAGAATGTTCCATGTGCACTTGAAAAAACTATATATTCTATTATTTTTGGATGGAATGTTCTATGTATATCTGTTAAGTCCATCTGGTCTAGTATGTCATTTAAAGCCAATGTTACATTATTCCAGCAATTCTACTACTAGGTATTTATCTGAAGAGAACAAAAACACTAACTTGAAAAGATATATACATCCCATTTTCATTGCAGCATTATTTATAATAGCCAAGATATGGAAACAACCTAAGTGCCCATTGATGGATGTACAGATGAAGAAGATGTGGTCTAAATATACAATGGAATACTACTCATCCATAAAAAAGAATGAAATCTTGCCATGTGCAACAACATGGATGGATTTGGGGGGTATTATGCTAAGTGAAATAAGCCAGACAGAGAAAGACGAATATCATATGAATTCACTTATATGTGGAATCTAAAAAACAAAACAAACCTCATCATAAAAAAAAAA